GTTTGTGTTGGAACAACATGAAGGAATTGTGTGGAACACTGCATTTTTTCAAGCTTCATATGGATTTATAAGTCATCCTTACTGTTCAATGAACGCAAACTGTCATAGTTTATTAAAGACGCAAACTCCTCACTGCATGATAGCTGCACCCTCAGCAAACCTGCTAATTCCTGCAGCACATGGACTTTATGATTGTTTTTCAATAGCGTCAAAAGTGGCTGATCTTTTCATCAAACTTTTTTACTGCATGTCACTGCATATCAAATGACTTAAACAATATAACTAAAGAAATCTCCACTGTGCTGAGCGAGAGCGCTTCTCTACTGAACAGCGCATCATCGTTTAGGCTTATGTGAACATGGCAATTTTGCTCAGTTACAAATTACAAGTTACCCTAATGTAATTAGCAGTTGTGTAATTATTTTAATCACTTTATTAATGTAACTGAATATATTTTAATAACTTTTCCTACAAATAATAATAATAATATATTTTATTTATAACACGCTTTTCTAAATCCCAAAGCGCTTACAAGAAAGTAAAAACAACAAAGCACAGTAAAACAATAAACAAATACAGTAAAGAACACAGTAAGAATAAAAGGTATCACAAGTTAAAAACAGTCCTAAAAAGTTAGTTTTAAGTAGCTATAAAAAACCGTCCAATGAACCCGCATTCCTAATGTTAGTGGGAAGAGCATTCCACAGTTTGGGTGCACGGAAAGCGAACACCCTACTTCCCATGGTGCTGAGTTTGCAGCGAGGCTGAAACAGCGTAGGACCAAAGGCAGAGCGTAGACAGCGAGAGGTAGAGGAAATGGATATTAGGTCACAAATGTAACCAGAAGCAGAATCTATACGAGACTTGACGAGCAGCCAGTGAAGCTGCAGAATTTTGAATGTATTGCAAAATCTTGAGAGTATTAGCTGGTAACCCTCCAAACAGAGAATTGCAAAAATATAAGCGAGACGTGATAAAAGCATGGACAAGTCTTTCAGCGTCAAGCCTCGAGAGGAAAGAATGCAAGCGGGCTATATTTCGAAGATGATAAAAGGCTGTTTTAGTTACATGTTTAAAATGAGGCTTCAGACTAGGCTGGAAGCCCAAGAGAACACCAAGATTACGCACCTGCGGAGATGATGACAAGACAGACCCATCAACAATTAACTCAAATTCACTACACCTCTTGATGTTAACAGGAGTAGGTTTCAGAACTATTTAGAAATGTCACATGTTAATCATTTTCAGACATCAATACCACACAAATCTTTTTTCCATTTTATAAAAGTCATGATTACACTATTGCTGAGTTTTTCTTATATTATTTGAACAAATAAAAATATTTTAAATATTTCCTTTTACTGCGCTCTAAGTTTACTTAACTAAGATGACTTCCTCTGCAAACCCAGAAACGTGACAAGGGTCCATTAAGATAATAATTTAATTGAAAGCACATGTTTTTACTTTGAGATCATTCTAATGCAGATAAAATTATTAATAAATAAATAAATTAAAAAAATGTTATTTACAGCATTTGAGTCAGCTTTCATTTGGTTCCCCTGGCTTGCCAGTTGACAAAAAACAGGTTTAGTTGCACAAAAAAGCCTGGTATTTACAGATTTTGGAGTCAGGTTGGCATTTAAGACAGCCTTAGTTTCATCAAATACAGTGGACTGGATCTAAGTGTGATCCATTGAATGCAATTATTTTGACCTTTTTGGCATTCCATACACACATACACAATGTATAGTATTTGTAATTCCCACATCCAAAAATAATAGACAACAAGAACTAACAATAACAAACTACTGAAGAAGGTAAAAAATAATAGACGACAAGAACTATAACAATAGCAAACTACTAAAGAAGCCAAAAACAGTAAAAAAAAAAAAAAAAAAAACAAGAACTATAACAATAACAAACTACTGAAAAAGGCAAACACTAATAGATGACAAGGACTATAACAATGGCAAAAAAATGAAGAAGCCAAAAATAGTAAAAAAAAAACAACAACAAAAAAAAACAAGAACTATAACAATAACAAACTACTGAAAAAGGCAAAAACTAATAGATGACAAGAACTATAACTATAGAAAACTACTGAGAAAGGCAAAAAATAATAGACTATAAGGGCAATGAATGATTAGAACTGATCAACTTAAACACTAAGACATTTTTATCTCTACAAACTCGAAGCACAGACTCCAGGAAGGAATCTAGTGCACATACGTCAAATGCACACCATAAAATAGAGTATAAACTAAAAGGCTGTGAAGTATACTCTTTAAGGTTGTGCATGCTATGTAACAAGATATTACAGCATCAGCATCTCATCTGACCATCAGTGAGTTCAGCAACTCCTATCACACCTACATCCATCTGCTGCACTGCCCACCAGCCCTCTGTGCCAACACTGACCATCAATGAGCTCATCATTTCACTTCACACTTCTCAGCTCATAATACACTACATGCCGTTATTATTAACATGCAGATCCTTTCACACACAGATCAGACGCTGAGTCAAACTAAACTTCCTACTCTCTTCACCATTGTTACAAAACAAGTGCGAAATGACCAGTCCATTGATGAGATTGCCACAATCAACTGCCTGCAAAAACACTTCTGTTTTATTACGCTTCAATTAGCATTTAAAGCTATTTATCTTTTAAATTTGTTATGTTTTTGAATACATAGTATATATTAAGGCAAGACATTGCAGAAATATTAAGCCTGGGATAGTTATTTAACACTTGAGTGAGTTGTCTACCAGCAATGAACAGTGTTGGGGTAATGTATTACAAGTAACACGAGTCACGTAATAATACTTTAAGTAAAAATGAAAGTAACGCATTACTTTTCTAAATAAACCTTACATTATCCGAGTTACTTTTAAAAAAAATGTTTTGCAGGTTACTTTTTATTTTAGTTAATTCATTTATTCATTCATTTTCTTTTCAGCTCAGTCTTTTTTAATTGTATTCAATTTAATTAAGGGTCCCCACAGCGGAATGAACCACCAACTTATCCAGCCTATGTTTTACACAGCGGATGCCCTTCCAGCTGCAACCTATCACTGGGAAACATCCATATACTCTCACTACGGACCATTTTAGCTTACCCAATTCACCTGTACTGCATGTCTTTGTACTTGTGGGGGAAACCGGAGCACCCGGAGGAAACCCACAAGAACACGGGAAGAACATGCAAACTCTACACAGAAATGCCAACTGATCTAGCAGAGGCTCGAACCAGCGACCTTTTTGCTGTGAGGCGACGGCACTGCCTACTGTGCCACCACATCACCTAGTTTAGTGAATACACTTTTTAAAAATTTAATTGCTGTATTAAAATGATCATAGATCATTGAATACCGTACACAATGAGAGAATGCAGGAACAGACAGAAAGGAAGGTGGCAGGGCCTTGCACTTCTGCAAAGGAAGATTCTCTTTATTTTGAACACATGGCAGAAAAGGAAAAGGGCATTTCCTGAATATATAATGATTTTACTTTTTTGATAAGACAAAAAGTACAAAAGTAGCAAACACATTGCTTTAAACTTTCATTAATCTGTATATACGACATGTATCGCTCGGGGACCAGGAAGTTCTCAGAGGATAACATTATCCTAGATAACAAACAAATGGTGAAGTTCCAGTCCTGAAGGAGATCAAGCCTGAGACCATTAATAAAAAGCAATGCAAAGGTAACTCAAAAGTAAAGTAACTCATCACTTTCCATAAAAAGTAACCAAATACGCAGCTAGTTACTTTTTTAGGGAGTAACTCAATATTGTAATGCATTACTTTCTAAAGTAACTTACCCCAACACTGGTAATGAAAAAATAAAAGAATGGTTTATTTAGAATCTTACACTAATAGGAGTTCTTGTGGTCAGATGCAGAAATTCATTCGGTGAGCATTAGGAGCATTCTGTAGCCGTTGGGTTGTACACTTGTTTTTGCGGTGCATTATGGGGTTGACTGAGTGCACCTCAGGACATCCAATATAGTTTCGGACACTACTACAAATGGCTGCTCCCTCAAACAGATCATTATTTAAGAGTATAAGAAGCGGTTTTGGATACTTTTTTTCCATCTCAATTTAGATTTTTGGCTTGTCAAAGTTTTTTCACTAATGTAAATAAAAGAGACAAAATGCACTTTTAAATGTTTCTTTTGAAACTATATACAGGCTTTTTACACTATATACAGTGCTCAGCATAATTGAGCACCACCCATTTTGAAAGCGAATATTTGTATCCATTTTGCAGTGAACATATGCAATGTGTTTTGGTGCATTGAAACAAAACAGATTTATTAAACAGATGTATTTATTAAAATAATATTTTAGTCACCAAACATATTTAGAAATTGAAAGATAATACAATTAAATTCAAGCTAAATATTGCAAAAAAAAAAAAAAAAAAAAAAAAACAACCTACAAAATTTCAACTAAATTTTTCATTTTCTTGCTTCTTTTGATTTTTCCTCTTTTTTTAAAATTTGTTTTTAATATTTTTCTACAACATAAATTTCGCTGTACTAGTTTTTGGAACGTTATCGTAAGTTATTTTGTTAGATGAGCTCCAGATTTAGGTTCAGTACTGATTAATCTAACGTATATGCACAAATATAATATTGTATAGCTTCCTATTAAAAATATGAATTTAAAATTTAGATTTGTGAGGCGTGTACTTATACTGAGCAATGTGAGTTTGTGTCGGTAGATTTCAAGTATAGTACATAATGTTTCATAATATTTTTTTTCATACAAAAAACTTCACAGTTCTATTCATATCTGTATTTAATCTTCAAAAAATATATATACAAAAATATATTTTCGTGTTAGAAATGTATGCAAATTAGATATTTGAATACCTAATTAAATATATCTAATTTGCATATTTAAACATAACATTTGAGAAAACTTGCAGTGCAAAAACACTTTGCAATTCTTAGTGTAATCAGTTAGTTGCATGGGGAAAAATAGTAAAAGTATTAATTTTATAATAGTAAAAGATTTATTGTTTTTAACCTGCAGTGCATCAACTTATTGAAATGTTTGACATGAAACAATAAATTTACAATAAATCTAAATCCACCCAACAACAAATTTCTTACAATAAAATCAAGGATTTTCACAATAAAAAGGTTGATTAAAGTAGCCCTGAAAGAGCCTGTAAATGTGATGTTATTTAGAGCTACACGCTTGTGAACTTTGGCTTTTAGCCGTGACTTTAATAACTGTTATTTTAGCTCATTGTACAAAGGTAAAATTATAGCATGTGTGTGTGTGTGTATTAGTGCTACACTGTCACCATGTGGAGACACCTGAGAAATACATTTCATATACTAACCTGTCCATTTGCACAAAAATATCTGCATGCACACAGAAAGGAATATTTTGATTCAGCTGGGGCTGACTGACTTACAGATGACCAAAGGAAAGACAAAAAAGGAAGAAAATCATGAACAGAAAGATATAAAGAGCTTTTTTTAGTTTACTTGTATTTAATCAAACATTTTTACTTTAACATATGTAAATAAAAAAATCAATATACTAAAACATTAAAAATATTTCAAAAGACAAATCAATACAAAAATCTGACATTGAAAAATACTAAAGAAAATGCAACAAGTTACCTAAGAATTGTGTCTCAGATTATTTACATAATTCATTTAATCCTCTCATATTCACCTCATTTCAGTTCTGGATTTGTTTTTAGTTTGTTAGTGTTTTTGGAAAGTACACAGCAGACACATTTTAAGGCTGGACTGTATGTATATCTCATGCAGATTAGATAACTTTAAATGTATTGAGCTATTAATAAGAAACAATGCCTCGATTCAAACAAATTGTTTTGTGTTTGTGTTTCTCATGTACTGGATGTGTAAAAATGAGTCTACGATGACAAAGTGAGAGGAATAAATGAATGTTCAGATGCGTTCACACTTCCCAGAATAAAGCACAGTCACAGACCGAAGTCACATTATTAGCTTGTGAATTAGAGGAAAGTGTTGCTAATTTTCAACTCATGAAAGCAGAAATAGACTGACTAGAGAAAACCTTGTGTTGCTCCGTCTGTTTCTCAGTGTGTTCAGAAGACATGAGGGCCGATGTAAACGGCGAGGCGCAGGACTGAGCTGGTCTGGTAGTTCATCAGTGGATTTACCGACTGCATCTCCAGGTCCAGGACGTACTCCTTCGGCCCCGTCACGGTCCGCGCCAAAACCAGCATAGCACTGATGTTGTTGATTTGCTGAAAACACAACATGATAAAACATCAATAAAAGTATAAGCTTAAAGCAAAGACAAGTGAAGAAGGGAAATGTTAAAGATTTTACAATAGTTTAAGTCACAAATAAGTGTAAAGATGAAAATAGTCATTTAATATTAAAAAGTAAAACATTTTAAAGGAAATAGCTTTTCAAAAAGAAAAGAAAAATATATGAGTTATATACATTTTTACAAAAGCTTTCAATTACAAATGAATGTTCTTCTTATCAGCTTTCTATGCATCATTTTATTAGCATGCACACAAAATGAGAGACTTTCAGTCCGTCTCAACTTGCATCAAAAATATTTTACTGTAATTTATGTACAGGGTGGGCCATTGATATGGATTCACCTTTATAAAATGGGAATGGTTGGTGATATTAACGTCCTGTTTGGGGCACATTAGTATATGTAAGGGGGCTTATAAATAATTCATGAAAGAATGAAGTTACTTTTAAAACCAAGCACATAATTGTTTTTCTTGTGAAATTCCCAATGAGTTTATTAAGGTGTATCCATATAAATGGCCCACCCTGTAGTACTTCAGTCTTATTTTGAATTTTGTATATATTATTTCTCGTTAATAAATACTTAACTTTTTTATTCTTTAGTCATTATTATTTGTATATATTTTATACTATTAAAGCTAAAATATTTTTTTTATTTAGTTTTGAAGTTAGTAGCTTTAATGCTTAATCTAATGTGAAATATTAAATATTAGGAACTTTTAACACTTTTTAAGTTTTACAAAGAAAATGGCAAGATTCCAAATTCAGTATTGAATTCAAGTATTATGCATGTGTTTTTCATTAAATAAATGGTACCATAGATCAGTCTCAAAAATAATACATTTACAAAATTAAGTTTATAGAATTAGAATTTATGAATTGGATTTGTGCATTTTTGAATTGCGTTTTAAACTTACGAATTGAATTTGTTGTATTTATGAACCGTGTTTAGAACCTACAAATTGGATTTGTGTATTTATGAACTGGATTTTGAAACTACAAATTATATCTGTGTATTTAAGAATCAGGTTTAGAACCTATGAATTGGATTTATGTATTTGTGAATTGTCTTTTATTACCTACAAATTGGATTTGTGTATTTATGAATCTTGTTTTAAACTGACAAATTGGATTTATGTGTTTATGAATCATGTTTAAAACCTATGAATTATATTTGTGTATTTAAGTATTGTGTTTAGAACCTATGAATTGGATTAGTGTATTTGTGAATTGGGTTTCAAACTTATAAATTAGATTTGTGTATTTATAAATTGTTTTTTATTACCTACAAATTGGATTTGTGTATTTATTAATTGTGTTTAGAACCTACAAATGGATTTGTGTTTATGAATCGTGTTTTAAACTTATAAATTATATTTGTGTATTTAAGAATCGTGTTTAGAACCTATGAATTGGATTTGTGCTTTCATGAATGTTTTAAACTTACGAAATGGATTTGTGTATTTACAAATTGTGTTTTGAACTTATGTATTTGATTTGTTTATTTATGAATCATGTTTAGAACTTTCAAATTGGATTTGCAAATGTGAATCTTGCTATAGATGTATACATTTAATTTCGTAAATGTATTATTTTTGAGACTGATCTGGCTCTATACATGGTGAGCAACTGAGATTTTTCAAACATAATTCTTTTTAAACTTTTGAACAGTTTTGTAGAAATAAAAAAAAATAATATCAATATCACAGGTTACATAACATAAGTTGGTGCCTGTTGATGTCTCTCTTACTGACCCGTATGTAGAATTCCTCATTTTGGTCTCCAGATCGGATGCGGAAGGAGTTGTAGGCTCCAGGATAGACACTGGTGGCCTGAATCTGGAAGATGTCGGAGGGAACGGAGCGTTCAGACGTGATGCTCATGTATCGATGCACAATAGAGAAGGGCAGATCACGGCACTCCGGCTTCACTACCGGACAAATACAACGACTGCACACAAAAACAAACACACAACCAAGTGGTAAAACAGAAAATTGTTAATACCTGGCATACGTTAAACAAGATTATTTCATAATTTTTGTTTGAGGGCAAAAAGAAGTTTGAATAGGCAGAGTGACAGTATACTGTTGTAGTATGTGGCGTTGTAAATGTGTCATGCTGCTCACACAAACCCATATCAGTACAAAGAGAGAAACATTTAAACATCTGCCAAACTTCCATTTTCAATTTACAGTGGACAGACACCAAATGGGACAGTGCTTAGAAATTGTAAAGATGTGCGACGCGACGCAGTGGTGCTTCTCGTCCAGTGTGTGGACCCTCTCATAGTCTTTAAAATCTCTGCAAGCAATCGTCCAAGTGTGGATATATCTGTACCAGGTCTTCTTCTCTATTATCCTGTTTATTCATGTATATAACTGGGTGTTGTTGTGTTGGATGTTGTTCTCCTGTCTGAGCTCAAAGGAAGCTCAAAGGTGTTTAGGAACCAAAAAAAATGCACTTCACCAAAGAGTTTGCTTTGATGAGGTGTTTTGAACTTCCAAAACAAAGTCAAAACGAATGTAGTATGTGTAGTATGAATTGTAGTGTTGGGGCACTTTCGTGTTACTGAACATAAATTTACATCTACATTATGTCCTTAAAGTCAGGGAACAAAATATTTTATTAAAAGTTTTATAAATATATAAATAAATGTTAATTGTCTGGTTTCTTCAGCTATCGCTCAGAAGGAAAATCTTTGTTTAAACTTTAAAGAAATCAAGATAATGATTGATAAGAATTTTTTTTTGCAGTGAAACTGACAGCATAGTTACCGTTTGTATATATGATAATGAGTCTTTAGTTTTCACCGCATACACTGTAAGCCAGGGGTCTTAAACTCAAATTGGCGGGGGGACTTTTCAGTGACTGAAAGTTCATAGGAGGGCCGTTTTAACGTTTAAGTACAAGCGAAAAGTGGAAACCTGACACAATAGATGCATCTTAGGACAACAGACATGACGTTTATATTTCAAGCATTACCTGTCATCAGTGATAATGCAAATTAGCACGTTTATTGTGACACACATCAGCTGCTAAAATATAGCTGTGGTTGTTATGTGTATGGCTAAACGGTCAAAACTCAAGCTTTTAGTTTCTTGTTGTACATATTGAAGTGGTAGTTTAAACTGCTCTGAAAATACTACAAATAATGAGCATAATAATTATTATTCTGCACCAACCTATTGTATTGTCCCAATAGCTTAAGAACAGCAGAAAGCTGTTTGGGTAACTTAAGTGATTTTACTGGCCATTTGTTTTCTGAATATCTTTCTTTTTTTTTTGTAAAACTACAACAAGAAGGTAAAAGTATCTACATATTCACATTTACTTTAACAAGTTCACTACAACTAGCAGTACAATTTTACCAATGTACATAATTTTTTTGCAAATCTTAAGCATATGAGGGAAATCTATTCAATCACACCATTTGAATCGAATATTAGGGAATAGATCATATTCGTTACAACACCAGCACAATGTGTAAACCATGAAGTGTTTGTACAACAAAATGCAAGAGGTATACAACTAATAATAATCAAACACACCTTGAATATTTACAAAAATAGAACTTTAGTAAAAATAGAGCACTTACGGGCATATATTTTTAAGGTTTAAATTAGCCACAGATTTAAAACGCATGCGTGTTATTCGTGACCGTACACCGAGAAAATGAAAGTAAAACTAATCTGAATGAAGTACTTTCAATATTGACCTAGTGGCTAGATGCAACTGCACAACAACAATAGTGGTTCAAAAATATGTTTTGGTGGGCCGAATGTTGCTATATTTTTGACGTCAGTTGCAGGCCAGAGAGAGGAGGGGGTGGGCTACAAATACCCGCAGGCCGGTAGTTTGAGACCCCTACTGTAAGCAGTATATTTATTATAATACACTGGACCTTATCTGACCCATCAGAGCAAAATGAGACTCTGAAAAAAGAAGTTACTTAGGGAGAGACTGCAATCTTATAGAGCTGATGCTGCAGTATACTGTACATAATAAAAAAATTAGATGTTGTTGACCTTGCTTGGATGAATGTAAACCTATTCATAACCAGGAAGTTATAAAAGCATCTCACTTCTCTGAGACCTGGATGTAGGGCTCCTGGCAGCGGTTGGCGCTCACACACTGATGTCCTCCATGGATGTTCACACAGACCTGTCCTTCTCCACACTGATGACTGCCAGTCTCACACTCATTCACATCTACACACAGCAAATAATAAAAACATAGCAAATTGAAATGCAAGATTGATTTAGAGATATAAATGTTGTTAGGGGTGCAGAAATGACTTTCACCCTGGCAGAGTCGAGATCCAAGTAGCTCGTAGCCTTCTGGACAAACACAGGAGAATTTTCCAGGCTCATTCACACACTGATACTGGCACAAGATACTGGAGTAGCTGCACTCGTTGATGTCTGCCAGGACAGACACAGAAAACTCAGTGAAACATCGGTCTATCATCACTGAGTGGTACGGTACGGTTCCGTTTGGTACGCTATTATGAACGTTTTCACTGTCAAAAAGCGTACCGAACCTAACCGTACCATACCTCTTTTTCGGCACCCTTTCGAAAGGGTACCAAACGGGAGAAAGAGAAAGCTGAACACTGAATGGTTACAGAGATCTGTCACGAGCTCGTGGAGCTACACAGAATGTAAACAAAGGAACCGCCATGTTTTTTTAAATTCAAAGCCGAGACATTACATGGAAATATATGCATAATAACGAGCCATGGATGACCCAAGCTCAAACAAACCTTGACATCGTCTCGATGAACAGGAACAGACACAAAGCCAAGAAGAAAAATCTGCCGTGTCCTGTTGTTGTTTTACGAGCCCTTCTAAAAGTGCGAGTGGTATTCGTGATTCGTATTCGCGATGGCTTCTATATTTGATATAACGAACTTCTTGAGCTGATGATTATAACGTGTGTGTGTGTTTATTGAAGTGTCTCTGTCATCTGATCCATTCAGAAAAAAAAAGGACAAGCACGAGAGTGAAGCGGGAGTGAAACGCGGAAAAACAAGAGAAGCCATCAAAACACAGGAGCAAACTTGTTTTAGCAACCTGAATTATGAACATACTGCCATGTTTATCTGCGTCTTTTGGATTATTATGAACCGGGTATGACAAAATTACTGTCTAACAGAGCTTACATGTGCTGGTGAAAATTACAGACATGATGAGAGGTTTGCACTGACTGTGGGCTATATTGCGTGTGTTTTTGAACTCAAATAATTACTAAACGTTTGCTGTGAGTAATTTTTCTGTAATTAATAATATATTGGAGACTGTAAGGGGCTGTATGTGTTCATATATTTTGCATTTATGTATTAATTTTATACAGTACAGTACATATTTTTTTACAGTAGCCTATTTTCATAGTCATTGATCTGCAGTTATAATCAAATTATATTCATAGAAAAGTTAGTAATAAACATTTATAAACCAGTATTTATGTGTATAAAGCATCTGTTTTGTGAGAAGTGCTGCTCATTATGATATGTGAACGACTCGTACAGCTTTTCCATAGACATTTATTTGAGCGAGCATGACGTAGACTAAAACTTTGTCATACACCACGCCCACCAAAAGGGTAACGTTACCCTTTGTGATGGAAATGCAAGCCTGATAAAGGTGACCCGTACCGACCCGAACCGTACCGTACTGTAACAGTCAGTGGAAATGAGGCATTAGTAACAATTTGGTTAAAGTCTTGTACACTAACCATTGCATGAGTAGCCATCAGGTCCCAGGTCATAGCCTTGATCACAGCGGCACAGGAACGTCCCGTAACTGTTGTAACACCTTTGCTGACAAGGTGCTCCCATTTCACACTCATTTACATCTGATGACAAACAATAGAGATATTAGATGGTTTTGCTCATCTGGAGGACAGAAAAAAAGTTTCCTCATTTAAATACTATTAATTTTGACTAGGTTTCAATGCTTATTTAGCAAAACTGTGCTATTAAAAGGCTAAATTCAGTACACTCCACATTGATAATGTAAACTCTATACAGGCAAACTGATAACTTGCTTTTTTTCCTTGTCTCTGATTGCAGAGGCATAGAATTTACATAGCATATGGCCAAAATATATTTTTAATATTCAGTTTTAAATGGGATGACACGGTAGATTTTTTAGAAGGAATATTAAAAAGAAAAGAAAAATGAAGAATTTGTAAGAATTAAACAATTCTGATAATGTTAATGACCATGTAATCCAAAAAAAGTGTATGAAAAATATTGTAACTCATTCAAAAATGTATACATTTTATCACAAGTAATATATTTTGGTGAAACTTGATCAATTGGATCAATCGTAATCAGATAACTAATTAACTGTAACTCCGAGCACCAGTCAGTGAACTTTCTGTATAGGTAATTTTTTTTAAATAAATAGAAAATTATGTTTTATGGTTACAAAGAAAAACCTTAAAATAACCATTAAAAGGTTGCAGACCAGACAAGAAGTATCAGTAAAAATGCATAATATTTATCCCATCATTATTAACAAACATATTATCTTTAACCACTTAGCTTCGTGATCTGGTATTGTGCAGTCCTTTGTGCTTTTCACATTTGGTATGAGATTGTGTACAGATATCATAGTTAAAGATATCACATACACAGACACACTGCAGTATTACATCACACTTAGGTTCTCGATGAATTTGCTCTTCAGTGTTTGTACTCCAGCAATGAAATTTAACCACACTTAAATGACCTAAACTGAACTTCAACTCTGAAATCTGGACTGACACAGTTTCAATATATTACAACTTCTATGTTAAGCTGCTTTGATACAATGTACATTGTAAAATCGCTAAAGAAATAAAGATGAATTTAATTGAATTAAAATAATCTCCAGATGTAAACTCTATCATGTTTTAAAGTTACATCATGGTAAAAAAAGAGAAAAGTTCTGTCATGACCCCAACAAAATAAAAAAAATAAAAAACATATTATTAAACGTTATTAAACCATTAAACATGTTGTTTGTCAAGTGAATTTAGTTGGAATATGGATCTCAGATTCGAGAACTCACCAACACAGGATCGGTTGTTTCCAGCCAGCTGAAAGCCTGGTTCACACTCACAAGAGAAAGATCCTGGCACGTTCACACAGCGATGCTGACAGTACCTGTACCTGCACTCGTCGATATCTAGCAGACAAGAGGACACACTTAATTTACACTGTAGAACAACTGGAGATCATTTAAAGAGACGCACTGCAGGCAAAAAACACAGATTATGTTCATGCACCTCGAAACGTTGAGATTTTGGGTTTAATATTCAAGTTTATATTATATGTGTATACTCAAGAACAATATGATCATAGATAATACTTAAGTTCTTTACCTGGCTGTCCACAATATTCTAAATTACAGAGTGAAAGAAGAGATTCCCTCTTAACTCTATTATGCCTAACCTTACTTCGTTCATTGTTCAGATTTTTGTGCCAAAAATCTATATTAATTATAAAAACAATAGTACCAAATATTGGAGCATATTTTAATTATAGATCATTTGCACATTCAAGCCTAAACCTTTTAAAATGACTGCAAACTGTCTAAGTGCTACAAAATGTAAACACATTCACATTCTCAAAACAGAAAGACTGAAGGTCATTTCTCTCACCCACACACTCTATGCCAATCTTGCTGTAGCCGTCAGGACACTGACAGGTGAAGGTGCCCACTGTGTTGATACATTCCTGGCTGGGCTGGCAGTCATGCATGTTCAGCTCACACTCATCAATATCTGTTCAACACAAAATGCACACACACAATATTTTTAAATGCGTCAGGACACTAGTACACCCACCGCTACTGCATGCTCCTTTATAAAAAGCCATAACATAGAAAAGTGTCCAATCATATAAGATGGTCATTTGTACTTTTCCCTCATCTAAATCCACATGAATGTTTTCCACAATATTAATAAGGTGTTAAAAACCACTTAAATCTAATTATACATTTTATTATATACATCTTGTATATATCTCTCGTTCAGCCGCAGCCTACCTCCCCAAGTTCCCCACCAAATCCCCTATTTTTGCACTACTATTTATTATCTTACATCTACATAGTACTTCTTGTATATTTCTCACGTTCTACCTCAGAACTGTTTACTCCACCTTGACCTACCCCCTCTTATCCTCTATTTTGCACTACTTTTTATCGTCTACAGCCATTTCCACTGTAGCTTGTTCTTTAGTGTGATCTATTAAAAACTTACATTTACAAGTTTGCACTGAGTAGTGTGCACTCAGTGCACCTTATCACATCACACATGAATATATAATGTACATTGTATACGTGTACAGTGACATTAAATGGCATTCTATTCTATTCTATTCTATTCTAAATATTAGTTCCCAAATCTGGCCTTAAAGGAAGGATTTACCTCAAAATGAAAATTCTGTCATTTACTCATCCTCAAGCAGTTCCTGAAAAGGTATTCTGAAAATGCTGGAAACTAGCAGCCATTTACGTACAGAGTGAGAATTGTTTTATTCAACATTCTTTGAAATATCTTCTTTTGTGCTTAACGCAAAGAAAATACACACACAACAGTTTGAACATGCTTAAGGGCGACTACATGATGGCAGATTTATCATTTTTGGGAGAACTCTCTCTTTAACTCACTCACCCACGCAGGACTCTCCTTGGGCCCTGTAGCCAAGTGGACATGGGTTGAAGGCCTCGTTTTCTGGCACTGGCACAGGCACATTGGGCTCTGATTGGCTGGCAGTCTCAGGTGCAGTGATCACGTAGGAGGAGCGAGGAAGACACAGGTAACCACCATAATGATTGAAGCACTTCATTTCTCCTCGACAGGCCTCCAGAATGGTCTCACACTCATTTATGTCTGCGTACAATAGAAAACACAAAGTAAGGCATGTTCTTTTTTTGTCTTTTATTTGAACAAAATGGATTAAATTATTTCAATTTCTTTTCTTAACTGAAACTGAAAACATAGCAAATAATTTCTGTTTTGATGATATTTTGTTCATTAACTCGTAAGTTTTTTCAAACACTTTTGTATGTTAAATCAAACAAAAGGCTCAGGGGTAGCTTAAACAATGTGTTGGTGCTCTCTGGGTAAGGGATTCATCAGAATAAACAGCACAAGTAAGTCCAAGGCACTCGAGAAATGTGGAAAAATATTAAAAACCCTTTATTGCCATGTCAATAAAGGCTTTTTAATATTTGTAGAGTACCTTGGACTGGTTTTAGCTGTTTACTTATGAATATTTTTATCCAATGAACAATAAAACATATGTAAGATAATAAATATATAAATTAATTTCTTCTGAGCAAAATAACTGAAGTTTTTTAAGAAATGTTTCAGAATTGTTTAATTGATGCCATCTAAGACGTTAACCAACAGAAAATCTGCAAATTAACAAAAGTGCTTTCTTTTATATAAAAACAAACAAACAAACAAACAAACAAATAAATAATGTCATACAGGTTATTTTAGTGGATATATGGGTGAACTATCAATTTAAGAGAATCAGTAAAAGGGAAAAAATAAATAAATAAATAAAGCAAATTAAGTTTATTGCGCAAATTAGGTTTACTAAATAAAATAGTAAGAATTGTGATGTTAAAAGAAAGATTTTAATCATGATTAAATGAAAATATGAAACTATTTGGTTTGTATTTATAGAAAGAAAATGGTTTATTCCTAAATATGCTGTAAAATACAAAGATTTTAGTACTTCAAAAATATAGGGAGACTGATCATACATGTTGTATTGGTTGTTGGTAAAAACAAAAATCTAAAATAAATTATTAAAAATATATAATTAATATAAGAAAATATAGAATAGGAAAATTATTGAAACACTTCATTTTTGATTCAATGGGAGTTTTTTCTTCTTGCTATTTAGAAATAACGTCTACAACAGGGATGCCCAAACTAGGTCCTGGAAAGCCGGTGTCCTGCAGAGTTTAGTTCCAACCCCAATTAGACACACCTGAACCAGCTAATTAAGCTCTTTCTAGGTATACTACAAACTTCCAGGCAGGTGTGTTGAAGGAAAGCTAAATTATGCAGAACACCGACCGAAGATCAAAGAACTCTGACCAGAGAAAAACTCTTTGACATCACTTCACAGTAAACCTGCAAGTAATATGTTTATAGAACAAAAGGAGAGGGGAACCATACTAATAAAGGCTATTTCTGAGTTGATATTGCTTTTTAGTATATCGGTCTGCGTGGGACTGGTTTTTCATCCCCACTCCCACCAGATTTTATTTCCGCTTCCGCTATTTATTCACACTGTTTCCCGCTGTCAGATTCCTGCTATATTTAAGGACAGCACATGCACACGTTGCTTTCGTCACTCTGTCACTCCACAACAATTCAATCCGATTCAAAGCTAAAAGTGCTCCTCAGACCTGGAGATCAGCTAAATGTATTATAAAAATTGTAAAACTTAAATGATTAACTCTAAAGCAGTTGTAAAATGAGCCTATTTTTTTTTAAAGTGTAGTGTTTTTATTTTTATTTTTTGCAATTTATTTGGGTAATATATCCCAAAAATCATTTTAACATTGAAAATAAAGACATTTGCATAAACATGAAGCTTTAGCTGGACATTTACAAGCAAGATTTTTGACTACATCACATCTGCTTGAATGTTTTAACCTTTAAGGACTCAGGATGGAGACCGCGCATATAACATGTAACCAACAAAATATTCAGAAGCGAAAATCATCGAATTTTTATCGCTATCTCCCTCTCTCTTTCTCCAGCACATGACCTTCCACCCACCTCGACAGAGTTGAGTCTGCTCGTCCCACTCATAGCCATCTGTACAGTCCTGGAAGAGAAAACACACTGTATTATGTGTTATCTTTACTCACCAGCACTCACACTCAAACACATTTGCTGACGGGAACATGACTTCTAATGCAACCCTCAGCCCGGCAGCATAAAATACAAGGACATTTAAGTAGGAAGTCAGACAGACATGCTCATGTGGAGAAGGAACATGGAGAAATTGTCATACATACTCACTGTGTAAGCTTCACTTTCAGCAGGAGACTGGCAGATTGTACCAGGAAGAAGAGCCAGACCCACGCAAACAAACACATATGTGGCCTTCATAGTTACAGGACACTCACACTGTCACATACACAGCTGGAAGGAGGGCTGAACAAATGTATAGGTGTTGTTAAAACACTTTTACTCCAAAAGGTTCAATGAGAGAGGGAACAGAAGTGCAGGAGGGTCTGTTCAGTTCCTTTGGGGATATAAAAAGAGGGCAGGCAAACAGGAGAGGTGAGACCTTGTTAAAAAAAAAAGAATAACATATGTAATTGCAAATAAAAATGTTAACAGGAGTACATTTGGAACACAGACATTTGGAAGCAGTGAAGGTGGCCTGTTGAAAAGGCCAGCTCTGCTGATCACCTCCATATGGTTTGCTTTGGATATTGAATGTGTGTTGGTGCCCTCATTTGAATCATTAGCTCTGATTTACGATTTATTTATACATTTACAGTGAAGTTTTTTTCTTTTTTTCTTAGAACAGATTTAATACATTTTTCACTTTACAATAACATTCCATTAGTTAATGTTAGTTGATGCATTTACTGACATAAACAAAAAATTAACTCTACTAGTACAGCATTAATTATACATCATTTCAACATTTACTGTGTCCAGTTATGATTGATAACATTAATGAAAATAAATATGTCCATGCACTTAGAGTGCATTAACTAAATTTAACATAGATGAATAAATACTGTAATAAATGTATTGCTCATTGCTTATTGATGTAGGTAAATACATTCACGATAATAATAACTTCTTAAAGTAAAGTGGGACCTATATATTGAACTATAAATATATTTTTTAAAAGTCAATTAAAAACGTAAGTGTAGACAAAGAACATGTTACATAATTTGTTTAAATTGCATTAAAATTGTTGTCTTTTCTCCTGCGATTATTTAATAAATTATAGAGGGCAGACCATTGGTACTTTTTATTTTACAACATTTTTCATAGCAACAAACCTATCTGGTAGAGCGCGGTGATTTATATTTGATTAAATAAAATGTGTACATTTTTTAAAAGAAAAATTTACAATAGGATATAATTTGTTTACTTAACATTAAAAATAGTTAACATTAATAAATGCAATATTATACATTATTTAAAGGATATAGCCCAAAGTGAACTAAATCTAAACATCTACGTGTATTAATGTATCTTACCAAATGAATAAACACTAACAAATGAACTGCTCATAATACCTAATGTCAGTCAATCCATCAACCGTCAATGTAAGTAATGGGCCGTACTTTAGTGTTACCATAAAAACCACATAAGTCACTCTGTAATGCTAAAACAATGCTGATGTATACTGTATGCATAATCCATGCTCATTTGTAATGCATCAATGTTCATTTATATGATTTAAAATATGTAAATGCAAAAACAAGTAGCTAAAGTATAAATTAAAATGAAGTGCATGGTTTACTTTATGCCTATAATGCATGAGCTATTATTAACCTGTTAAACGTGTTTATAAAAGAAATGTCCACAAGCTAAGCTAGTATCAACTTGCTTGAACCAACACCAAAACTCATAAAAGCTTAACTTTTCTTTTCCGAGATAAATCTACAGCTTTTCAGCAAATACTACTATCAGCATCAGTGATACTGTAAATGTAAGTTTGTGATTTTGATCTTGTTAAAAAGGCAGTTTTTGAAAACAAGACAAGTTGGTGCATATAATCAGACGCTGCATGGAAGACTTTCCATTCCTCACATTCAGTGACCTGGAGATTCATGCTGACTGTACTACTGTACACAAATCTTTACACAAGAATTAACATGAATACATCAATTCATACCCACAGAAAATGTTCAAGTAGCTATTTAAAAACATTTATTTGCATAAGACTTCACGGTGCATAATTTCAGCTTTTTTAAGTTTCTACTAGCATTATTCACTTTTATTGTTGTAAATTAGCATTTATGGAGCTTTCATTTCATGTAGCAAACTACGCTGTAATAAATTATGGGTTCCACACAACTACTCTAATCAAAGTTAACTTGTTTTTACAAATCTCAGCGGATTTAACATGAAACATTTAAGTTGTCCTTAAAAAAATGCAGCAATTGAGTTGACTTAGATCATTTTAAATAGATTAGCCTGAAGAAGCGGCACAATATTTGTTTTGTGTGTGTGCTTTCCTGTATAGTTTCAAATATTTTCAGACTTATTTGCATGTTTACCTTTACTCTTTAATGCAAAAATTAATTTAGCACATTAGTTATGGTCCTTAAATAATCAGACTCGAATTTCCATTGATTTCTAAAGGCTCTACTGTTTGTTCTGGAAAGGAGACAGACATGGCAAATTTCTGCAGGATATGACTATACACACTCAGATCCTTCCATAAACAAGCCCCCAGCTTGGTCAGTAATCATCAGCTACAATGTTTGGTAACACTTGAAGTCTCACTATTAACTTGTGGCTCATTACCTGCTAATATACTGGCTGTTTATTTGCACATATAGTATGTATTCTGCATGATTTTATAGTACATCCTTAATCTTACACAAAAAAATATGACACAAAGTCATGAAAACAAATGTTTCTATAATACTTTAACGTAATTTTAAGAAGTTATTTAGGTTTGATTGAATATTTTTGTCAGTTTTACTGAAGTACGTGGAGATGACTACAAGTGTTCATTTGATTCAACAAAAAAAATAGTCAGCGATAATTTTTTACAGTGTAAATAATACCTTAATAACTGGTAATAAACCGCAAACTGGAAGATTACTGAGGCAAACAACATACTTAATGGTTTGTTAATAGGGAGAATTAAAGCCCAAAGTAGTCAAGTAGGACTAAAGTTTACTTTTTTTTAAAAAGCAAAGAACTGAACAACTTTATGTCACTAATTAAAACATTCCATCAGAGCTGCAAAAAACTTTGAGCAGTAGATCCCAGGACTGATGAAAACTATTTTTTCATGCATGTTTTCTCTTACTTGGATTATTCATTTCTCTGCTGGATTTAAAACATTTCAATTCAAATAAATTTGGCTGAACACTTACTTTTCTTGCTATATTCTTCAGTCTCAAAGTCTCCTTATATCTCTTTCTGGCAGCATATAGCAGAGCACAAACAAGACCTAGGCACTGAAATCTGTTGGGAAGTGTATTATGAATGTGAGGAAAGGTGTAATGCTATTGTAAGGAGTCTAGGACGTCCCACTTCTTCCCCTCCACCCAGTCCCGTTTGGCTCCTGCACCTCTGCCACCCTTCACCCTCCTGCCATGTTTCTCCTTCAGCCCACAAATGACATAAATTTCTGCTTTCTGGAGTAAATCTTAAAATTCATCAAACAAAAAAACTAAATCATGTCCGGCGGCAAAACAATCCATCTGGGTTTTGTTAGACAAATCCTTAATTACTTCCCATTTTTAATTCACTCTGCCTTGTAAACTTTCGTACTGATCAAGCTTGCTTGTGTCTGACACTGCTGGGTATTTACTAGGGGGTGTCGAAAAGGAATGCAGACAGGGTAAAAAAAAGTAAAAAAAAAGAAGGCCAGGCCTCTGTTTTGACTGTAAAACACTAGCCGATGCCAGAAACATCATGCGTCTTCATTACACAAAGAAGGTTGAGCACCATTAAGACAATGGCTTTGATGGAAACAGAGGCAGCCTACTTTCAGAAACAGCAGGGAATGTTCCCATGAGGACGTTTATGCAAGAATTTTCCATGACCATTTGTAGAGGGTGACAGCTGTCCCAGGTCAGGCCTTTTATAAGGTAGTAAAAGTGTCTCCTCATCCATCCACTGCAGAGCTGACCAGCCAACTGAAGACCCCATGCTGCTACTATTACCCTGCATAATCAGTAACAGGACTGTCCTAATGACCACTTTGAGAAACAGGAAAAAAAGGCAGATTTGTGGAAAACTAGGTTTACTTAACTTATACTATACAAGAAGAATACGTTAATATATATAAACTGAGCTGAGGTAGAAACATTTACAAACAGTAGTGCAACTGTATTAGTGCAACTGTATTGCTAAAAAGTGTAAAAATAATAAAATAAAAAAAGAGAAAAGAATAACGCTTACAAACATAGAGAAACTGTATTGTTACTTATAAAGGGGAAATTTGGTCACGATAACTAGCAGCATGTGTTTTAGTCATGGTACATTTTCAGGATGCAGCTTTTGATAACACCCATGTATCGGTCCCATATTACTTGATGCCTGTATAGAAAAAAAAATTCATATTAAAATTGCTCACTTAAAAGTAAATACATTTTGGTCCTTGGTGATTTACAAAATGAGTACTAGCGAAAAAGAAAACATATAAAGGAAAAACTAATTAAATACTTGGGGCTGAATTGAATGATTGATACATTGCTTCATTCACATCTTTCGAAACAAACTGAACATTACTAACAGCTCTTATCTACAGCCTTAGAGAATGGACAAATTTGACAAAAAATACCCCCAACAGATTCACCAGTTTGTTTATGTAATGATTAATTAGGCAATGGCGTTACTTTGTTATCAAAACTCCCATTATTAATAATACAAAATGCAATAATTTTCCTTAGTTTATCATTCCGAGCCATTTGAGGCTTACAGGCAATAATGTTGTGAATAGTATGAATGTAGATAAAAATTCTGTATATTAGACAGACTGATCCTTTCATCCCATAAAATGTATCATTACCATGTATTATTAGGGACCACAGGTATTAATTTTTTGTCTCTCAAAATGCCTGTAGTTGTTTGCTTGAATTTTATGAATCACTAAAAACCATAGTTTCTTCTAAAAACACTTACAGATCTGCATCATTAAATTTGTGTAACATTGGACTGCTAGTTACCTCATACTTTCTCCTTGCATAATATTAAGGCACTGACACTTTATCATACTTGCAAGCTTTTTGCACTACATACTGTTTGCAATTGCACAACTCTGGTTTGCACTTCTTGCCATGTGCCCTTAATTGTAATTCTATACAATTTGTATTTTACTTATATTTTTTAGATTATATTATGTGTGTTATTGTGTTTATTGTAATTTTTCTTTTGTTTAAATTGTACTTTATGTATTATTATCTGTTGTGCACCTAGGGTCTGAGAGTAATGCAATTTTGGTTCTCAGTATGCCATGTACTTGTGGCTAAATTGAGAACTAAGCTGACTTTGACTAAAAATCTTCTTAAATGTTCTACTTAAAAAAAAGGAAAAAAATTCACCTACAAGTTCCCTTTAAAAAGCGCTAACATATAGACATAAATACTAACCTGAAAGCCTCTAGTGTATGTACTGAGGTGCTGTAGTGTGTGAGGAAAACTCTGAGGTCTCCACTTGTCCATTTATCTGAACGACACGGTTCAATGAACTGAGAAGAGAAGCCATAATCATTCTGTCACATTCAGCCTGAGACAATGCAGGGACAAATATCACCTCATCCTGTGCAGTTTGTGTACAGTGCATTACCTTCTCCACAAGGTCAATGAACAGATCTCGGACATCTTTGGCATGTGTAAGCTTTGAGGCAATGTTAACTAGAGCTCTTGACAAGTTCTGAAATTAACAAGCAAAAATATGTATCAACATAGTTCTACGTAAATAAATATGTCAATATATTTTAAAATGTCATTTATTTCTGCAATTTTTAACATTATTACTCCAGTCTTGGGTGATTTTGTGCTTATTACACATTTATATTGCTGAAAACAGTTGTCCTGCTTAAAGGAACACTCCAGTCTTTTGGAATTTTTTTTGGGCCAATCTTTTGGCCCATTTTACTTGATATAGGAGTTGATAAGGTTGATCAGTTTTACCATTTTATAATCCATTCAGTCAGATCTCCGGGTCCGGCAGGAGCACTTTTAGCTTAGCTTAGCATAGATTAGACTAATAGCATCTAGCTCAAAAAAATAGTTTGGATAATTTTTCAGTTTGATTCTTATGTAGCCTTTAGGGATAGGAAAAAAATGGAACTGCTCCGATCTCTTGTCACAATTTGGGACATGTAGTGTTCAGTTGTAGTGTTCAGTTTTTTTTGTCATTTGACAGGGAAGCAAGGGTTTGTAGTGTTTTGGTATTTGACTGGAATATGTGTATATCCCATGCATAGGCCTAGCTGTTGAATTCATTCACTCACTAAGGCAACATTTCTTGCATGCTTCATGTTTTACCATTTTAAAGATTTTTGTTCAAGATGCCACCAAAACTCAATAATTGCTTGTGTGTGTTTCTCTCATGAATTATATATTATATATATTAAAGTCAGAATTATTAGCCCCCCTGAAGTCTTAGTCCCCCTGTTTATTTCCCCCCCCCCTAATTTCTGTTTAACGGAGAGAAGATTTCTTCAACACATTTCTAAACATTATAGTTTTAATAACTCATTTCTAATAACTGATTTATTTTATCTTTGCCATGATGACAGTAAATAACACTTGACTAGATGTTTTTCAAGACACTTCCATACAGCTTAAAGTGACATTTAAAGGCTTAACTACAGTAGGTTAATTAGATTACCTAGGCAGGTTAGGGTAATTAGGCAATTTGTTGTATAACAATGTTTTTTTCTGTAGACTATCGAAAAATAAAAACAAATTTGCTAATAGGGGCTAATAAATTTGACCTTAAAATGGGGTTTAAAAATTTAATAACTGCTTTTATTCTAGCCAAAATAAAATAAATAAGACTTTCTCCAGAAGAAAAAATATTATCAGACATACTGTGAAAACTTCCTTGTTCTGTTAAACATCATTTGGGAAATATTTAAAAAAGACAAAAAAATTTAAAGGGGGGCTAATAATTCTGACCTCGACTGTATATGTATGTAAATATAAATGAATGAAGGAATGAATCTAGAGCCCTGAGCTATAGCTACAAGAGCTCAGTCTAATATTATAGTTAAAGATATGAAGTCTTATGTTTATTCTTTTATATTAGAGGTTAGAATTAACTTTTCCCTCATCTTACTGTATCAAAATCTCAGATTTCCTAAAATCTGCCTAATTTCAGATTTTTTTAAATTTTTAGAATAGCTTTTTTTAAATACTGTAAATTGTAGATTATAAAACTATGTATTTTATACTGATGTATGTTATTTCTTAGTGTTACAATACCAGATTGTGATTAGAAACTAAACTGACCCATTTTGTGTTTTGTACCATCCTTTGTAGATTCACCATGTCTGTAGCAGGCACAATGATATTTCACAGTGCATGAAAATACTCCCCATCACCAAGCGCAACACTTGCACCAGCAGAATCTGTGTAACATCATTGTTCCTGCTTCAGCCATAATACAGCAGCAAAGTTGCTTGATTAATATGGGGAAACCCTGGTATAATTCAAAGCCAAATTAACTTAGAAAATAGCAACTATTCAGTTTTCATCAGTCTTAGTACACATTGTAACCACAGAATAGCCAAGCTTTAAATATGAACATTTTTGAGTGCAACGCTATGGTCTATTCTGATTCAATAATTAATGCTAAGCTTAGCTAAAATTGCCCCCAAAAGACCTGAATATTAGTGGAATGAATTTCAAAATGGCTAAACTAAAATTAAACTGCAGGGGAAATAAAATTTGCCTATTTTAAAAAAAAAGAGTGTTCCTTTACCATTGTTTTTTCAGGATCACTTGATGAAAGAATAATTTTTTTTAAAAGAAAATCATTTATTTAAAACTGCTCTATTCTTGTTGCTGACACTTTTGATCTTTGCATTTATTTTATTCCCAATATATTTAAAATCATCATCTATATATGACTTTACAATTAAAAAAACATGCTGCTCACCTTAAAACTGGCCTCCATCTCATTAAAGACTTTTATTTTCCCTCTAAGCTGTCCACACACCAAACTAGTGTTGGCAAAGAGAAAAGAAATGTTAGAAACAGCACATGTCCACACCATTACATCTGGCAATTAACTTGCTTGCCTTTTGTGTTGGTCCAGCAAGTCCTTATCATTCACCAAGACCTTCAAGTCTTTCAAGTCATGTAGAAAATCTTTTTCAAGATCAACGTCCATATCTTCAATCATGTTGTCTGAGAAAGTATCAGAAAGAAAACAAGAATGTTATCACCTTTCAAAGATCTTTTGTTTTGTGAAACCTTCAACCATTAATCTTCTCCGAAAAAAAAATGGTCATACTGTACATCACCTCTCAGCTTGTTTAAATTTTTGCCATTCACTATTGCACATAAAAAACACTCACTATAATGTGATTTAGTAGTAGTAAACCAGGTGGTATCTCGCTGCACACTTGTGATCAGATCACTAAAACACTTGTTAATACATGGTGCAAACAGGGACATATGCTTGGTTCTTAATGCAGTAGTTCACCTCAAAATTAAAAGTACTCATCCTTTCTTTGTCTCAAACCTGTTTGAGTTTCTTTCTTCTGCTGAACAGAAGGTATTTTGAAAATTGGCAGAAAACTGTGACCATTCACTTCCACAGTATTTGTTTTCCTATTATAGATGTCAATGGTTATCGGTTTTCAACATTCTTCAAAATATCTTCTTTTGAGTTCCACATAAGAATAAATCTCAAATGAGTTTGGAACCACTTGAAGGCAAATAAATAACGAGTACATTTACATGGGATCCAAGGCCTGTGAAGAGAGAATTTTAAGGACAAAACATACACTTAATACACTTCATTGCACATGTACACGTAGACATCACCTATATACTACAAAACTGCAGGTTAACTATGCTTAGATATAATAACTTATATTTGATAGTAACTTGAACTTAATTTTGTTGTAATGTATTATTTTGCACCTTTCGTAAAGCTGTTTTGAAACAATAATTATTGTAAAAAGCGCTTTACAAATAAACTTGAAGTGAAATTGAATATTTTGGGGGGAACTATCCCATTGGGTACTACTACATAAGTCTGTCGTGTGTTTTTATGAAGTCGCTCTTACCAACGGCCCCCACAGTCCAGTAGCTTATGAGCTGACCAGCACAAAAGGCAAAGTCCTGGAATGACAAATACTGTAGTTTTCTCTTCCCTGTCTCAAAACGGCTGTTAGCAAAGAATACAATGGTGGCATAATCCCTGCAGAGAGACATGGCTGAATCAGTGAGAGGAAAGTGGAGAGGTGTGTCAGGAACAGAAGAGAGAGTGCATGGATGGAGGAGAACAAAACAGAAACATAAGTTTGAAGATCAGCCTTATCAAGCATAAGAAATAAGTCTTTCAGTGGGTGTTACAGCTGCTCATTACCACTAGTAAGAGAATGATAGAATAAATCCTTTGTTTGGCTCCAGGTGTGAAAGTCTCACCTTGCCAGATCATCCGACAGGAGAAAGTGACGCTGTATGTTCTCCACTAGAGGGCCTTTCAGCTCTTCAACCACTTTGAACACGCGCTTGAAATTGTCAAACTGAGAAGATGGTAGACAGAGTTAAAACAATACATGTCCTTGCTTATGGGCGTATGACCATTTCTCATAACCTTCAGATGTATCTATTCTAGCCATAACACATTTTTATTATAATTTCAAAGTGCATTCAAGCCAAAATAAAACTAAAGCATAGCATTTGAGTGTAGAAGGAGTGTACATATTCATGCAGGAAGGATGTATGGTACTGACACCTTACATAGTAAGATAAAAAATATGAGAGAAATATGGGAAAACATTAAAATGGGATAGGATGATAAAATACAGCAGAATCTAGGAAAAGTTAAAGGGTTGACAAATATAATTCATTCATTCATTTTATTTTCAGCTTAGTCCCTTTATTAATTCAGGGTTGCTACAGCGGAATGAACTGCAAACTCATCCAGCATATGTTTTACGCAGTGGATGCCCTAATAGCTACAACACATCCCTGGGAAATACCCATACACACTCATTACGAATATAATGTAATACCTTCAAATAACTTTTTTAATTTCTACTGAACATCCGGTAATCAAAGACTGTATCTATTTAATACAAAATCTAGGTTATATTACTAGTTTATCATTAACTATTTAACATACTAAAGTTTTCTACTCTGTCCACATTTTCATGTAACTGCTTAGCATACAATATTAGTCCTGTCCTAACGAGCCATTCAGAATTCGGGTGTGTGCAGCACCTGTCGCCGACAGCTCTTCAATGCGATTCCAGTCTTTGCACTGACGTCATCCAGGTCTTTTTTGGTCCCTTTGGAGAGTTTTTTACCCAGTACCTCTCTAGCAAACACACTGTCAAACTCATAGTACCTACAGGACAAATATAGCATGAAACAAATCATCAAAACACTGACAATGCACGAAAAAAAAAAAACAGAGAGTCATACAACTGCCAAAAACTAACAACATTAAAAAATAGAAAACAGATGCAAATCGGCAGGACCACAGACCTCTCGATAAGCATGGCCTGCTGGTCAGAAGGGATCTGGAAGAGAAGCTGATTGGCCACTTTTGAAGGAGACTGAAGGAGCCGCTCACACATCTGGAATGTTCTGAACTGGTCTATGGTATCGCTCTGCAGAACATCAGGACTGGCTTCACACTCCAGCAAAACACCTGCATCCATCCGCTGCCTTACTACATCTGAAACTGTTCAACAAGAGTTTATCTCCACCAACAGAGACGCTACACTATAAAAACATCCTTTCACATTTCAGAACTCAATGCTTTCAGGCTAATATAAAAAAAAATGACAGGAAGAGGAATTTGTGACTTGTAGTGGGTAAACTTCACCTCAACAGAAGATCAATATCACAGATCATTTAATATCTACTGGAGTATTTATTAAGGTTTTTAATTTAAATCATCAGCATCCATCTATAATCTATGAGCTGTCAAACAAACATGAACAGGTTCAAACTGATTGCAGTCTGAATTATTGAAAATGTTTCAATACTCATTGCTGTTTGCCAATCATACCCTTGTGCATTTACTTGCGAGTGAGTCAACAGTTCTCCATTAATATTCAAACCATGTGTTCTGATGACAAAGGACAAAATATGACAAAAAATCGATTGTAAATTATTATTACGTTGATAATAATATAATTATTATTATGATAACAAATCAGTAGTAATTTAAACCTGACAAGCTCATTAACAACATTTGGACAACAACAACAACAACAACAAAAAATATTAACCTGAATGTCCATCCAACCATAGTTGGTAGATATCTTCATCCAGGACAGTGGTGTTCCCCACAAACACATCCAACTCCATGGATATTTTCTACAAAAACAATGAATGAATGAATATATATATATATATATATATATATATATATATATATATATATATATATATATATATATATAATTTTTTTTTTAATACACAAACGATGATAATAGCTGCTTTGATGAATTAACCAAACAGAACATTTTAGGGAAAGTGTACTGTTCACCTGCTTGACAGTATATAATATAAAAAGTGTTTGTTAGATGTTCTAATTTTTGAAATACATAAACTAACGTTATATTAAACCAATAAGAACTCACCGTAATTTTATATACGTTTTAAAAAACTGAAAAGACGGTCAATGAAGTCGTAAGCTGAGGTTAAAACAGAAAGTGGCATCTACGGCGACGCATCTGAGAGCTGAGCTTATTGCGCACTTACATTTCCAAACACGCACGTGCAGGTTTGTTTACGCGCGTCAATCCGTGCTGCTATCAAATATTATCAGGCCGTTTATGATCTCTTACGCCCGTGTAAATTTACATGAGTTGTCTGTAAATGGCAGGAAAGGATGATGTCAAGGTGCTCGCAGTCTTGTGGATCTGGTTTAACCAGAACTAAACTACATTTACCATCGAGCGATAATGCAGCGCCATCGAGCGTCTATCAATGAGTGACTGCCACCTACAGCTAGGGAATAAACACTGCATAGAGTTCTGGAAAATATATTACTCCAACAAAATTACGAAGAACGAACCTAATTCAGATATAAAATTCATTAATTTTCTTGTTGGCTTAGTCCCTTTTTTATTCCGGGGTCGCTACAGCGGAATGAACCACCAACTTATAAAGCAAGTTTTTACGCAGCGGATGCCCTTCCAGCCGCAACCCATCTCTGGGAAACATCCACACACACACTCATACACTACTGACAACTTAGCCTACCCAATTCACCTGTACCGCATGTCTTTGGACTGTGGGGGAAACCGGAGCACCCGGAGGAAACCCACGCGAAGGCAGGGAGAACATGCAAACTCCACACAGAAACGCCAACTGAGCCGAGGTTCAAATCAGCGACCCAGCGACCTTCTTGCTGTGAGGCGACAGCACTACCTACTGCACCACTGCCTCGCCCTCAGATATAGTATATATGTTTATTGTGGTATTTGTCTGACAACCACAATGTTTTTAGTTTAAGTCGGCCACTAAGTAACTTCAGCAAAATGTAAGATAACAATAAAGACCAAAGTCTAACACAACACTAAAGTCCAAAGTCTAAAGTCCAAAGTACATTTAATGAGAACATTTTTACTAAATTATTTCTGGCATAAAAATACTTTTAGTTTTATTTAGCACTAGCTTTCAATTAATAAAAATGTTTCAATTAAGATATATCAACAAAAAAGGTATAGGGTTTCTGCATATAGGTCTTAAGACATGCTAAAGTGAATCTTCAGTTTACTTTAGAATAATGGTTTTAATAATTAATATTACTGTACTATTTTTTTTATTTTATAGAGAATAAATTGTTTTCATTAGGGATTGAAATGTTTCTATGAAATATTAAGAAAACCATTTCCAACACTGATAATAAAATGTTTCTTGAAACCAGTACTACTGATTTCTCTAGAAACTAAAGACTAATATTTGTTGAATATTCTACTTTGCTATCATAGAAGTAAATTAAAATCTCTGTATATTTATTGTTACAATATCTAACAAATGCAATCTTTAAATGTACTTTCGAACTATATAAAATAAATAGATAAACAAATAAAAAGCTTGTACCTTACTGGAGATAGACCTTTGATAGAGCAACACCATTTGAAAATGTGGTTTATTATGCTTTATTCATAAAAAAACAAAACAAATTATGCATGCAAGATAATAATTCTCGAAGTATAACTGACATTTATTTGAACATATTGCTTTCACAAATATATGCCTATTGCTTTATATAATACAGAGCTGATCTGAACCAGCAGATTCAGCACTAAACATGACCAGCATCCATTTTATTCTGGATTTGGGTTTTTTAACTTGCAGATGGGCCCGTGAGCCTCAAAGACTAACTCCAGCCTCTCTCTCTCCCTTTCAAGTGTGGCAATCTCTTCCTCCAGCTGCGTCTTCACATGCTCCAAATGATCAGTCTCCTGTAAAAGAAAACACAGGCTCAGAACATACATACACAGGTTTCGTTATAATATAGCACAACTAAAAACCCTACTCACATTCTGTAAAGTGTCTATAAGCATCCGACGACGATCTCGACATCTGGCAGCTGCTACCCTGTTCCTTTCTCTGCGGATCCTTATTTTCTCAAGCTCCTCCGAGGACACCTGTAATAATAATAAAAAAATGTTATTAGACTAATTTCATTTAAAGAGAGAGTTCACACTAAAATGAAGATGTTTTGTTAAAGGAATAGCTCATTTAAAAAATGAAAACTGAAAGCGTAAAAGTAATATTCAGTATAATTTTATATAGTAGTGGCAAGCCAACTGGTCTTGTTCATCGAAGTCTTCTCTGGTAAACAAACGTTGTGGTAATTGGTTACCACACAAGACAGGTCTATGATTTTGCTTTACATCAAACACCTAGTCAGAGGTCAGCCAAAGTGGTCAAGAATGCGCATTCGGCAGCCACTGAGTTTAAGTTTATGATTATAAAATGATTTAAATGGTTTAAAAAACACATCAATCCTCTTCATAAGACATGCGGTAACCCCCTGGTGTCATATGGGTTAGTTTTGCGATAGATTTGTGTGCTTCTGGAAGCTTCAAAAAAGAGCCATTGTACAGCAAAGCAAAACCCAGGATGAAATCCAAAACTACTCTGACTGTGTTCATCTGATTGATGAAAAGTCACATACACAAAAATGGCTAGAGCGAGAGAACATTATGGGGTCATTTTTATTTTATTTAAAAAAACCTTTAATTTATCCATCCTCGAGACAGGTTACTCGTGATAGATATACATTTTTTCTTCAGTCAAACAGAAGTTTTTAGCTGAAGCTGCGGTCCTTGGTGTTTCCTAGAATGCAAGTCAATGGCTACTTGCATTTTGAGCAAAGAAAGTTGCTGTTGTACCATCTGAAAATAGTCTCCAGCAGCAAGCCCTTCACTCGCACCATCCGCTAGAATCAGTGTAATATCATTGCGCCTGCTGCAGCCATAGTACAGCATCAAAGTTCCTTGATAGATTATATAGTTCATATCAGACTTGAATATAGCAACTTTTGATTTTCTTACAGTCTTACTACACAAAGTAGAAGGCAATAGCTGTTATCACTAATAACATTAAGTGCATTTAACTTATTAATAAGTTTGTTCACCTTACAATATTTAAACAAGTAATCCCAACTTTTTAGCACTTTAAGTTGTTAAACTAAATAAATTCAAGTAAACTTGACTTACACTAGTATGTATTTACAACTTCTGAGTGGTCATGTATCAAAAGCATGTTAATAATGGAGAATGGTGATGAAGGAACTGAGGAAACAGGTGAAAAAATTAAAACTTGACCATAATCAGACGTAAGCATAACAAATCTGAGAGCTTTTTCAATTCTTTGATGTTCAAAATTTATAAATATATTAATATATTAAAATACATAAATACATTTTATATTGATATGATTATATAATAAATTATATTATAAAACAATATAATAATAATAATATTAATAATAATAATAATAATAAATAAAATAATATTTATATAACAATAAATAAATAATATTATATAATATTATTTATTTATTATATTAAACCTTGGCTGAAAAACTTGTTTTAAAATGTTATATTGTTTTTGTTTTTTGCAGTACGCAGATGCTACAATACAAAAAAGTTTTAGAAGTGTAGGAATTTGTTTTTATAGCAGCACAGTGGGTAGTGCTGTTGCCTCACAACAAGAAGGTTGCTAGTTCAGTCCCAGCTGGGTCAGTAGGCATTTCTCTGTGGAGTTTGCATGTTCTTCCCGTGTTCGTGTGGGTTTCCTTGGGGTGCTCCGGTTACCCCCACAAGTGCAAAGACATGCGGGTATAGGTGAATTGGGTAAGCTAAAATTGTCCGTAGTGTATGTGTGTGAATGTCCTGGTCCTCCAGGTTGGGAGTTGAGCGTTGGGCTAATGACCCACCCCGTAAAAATAAGATGTTATCAAACACCAACATGGCACGGCTATCAACTTTGATCTAAACGACCCTGGGAGTCAGTCAGTAAGTGAGGTATGTGTTTTTTACTTTACTTAAATGTTTTAGTTCAGCTTACTTGAAAATTTTAAGTCAGACGGCCTCCTAATATTTTCCTAGTAATGTGAACACTAATAAGAAGTTAAAACAACTAATTATTTTGACTCAACAGTACTGAAGTTCACTTTATTAAGAAGTTGTAAATACAAACTGTTTTAAGTTATGCTCACTTAAAATGAATACACTACTTTACTTAGAAATTTTAAGGCAATCGGTTTCCTCAATTTTTCTAAGTAAGGTCAACTTACTGAGTCACAAAATTAGCCTATTTTAAAAACAAAGTGGAGTGTTCCTTTATGGAAACAAGCTTACAAGGTGATGCTGCCATCTTATGGAAGATAACCAGAAAGCATATTCATGTCAATTGAACCCAAAACCAAATAAGTTGGTTCCTGTTACTCATCCACTGGCACCAATGACAGTGGCATTCATCTGAGCCTGCGCCTTAAGATTCCCGCTCAAATACTACAGCACTGACTCACTCCTCCTGGCCCTTTGTGATTCAGGTGTGAGTCATTTCACTCTTATACCAAAAATGAATGAATCACCAGAACCCCTCAAGTTCACTTTCAATATTTACTGCATTATAAACTCTGAACATAATCTTTAATGATCAGGAACTTACATGCTTATTATCATCATGGCCCTCTGCATTGTCCCCCACTGCTCCATTACAGGACGGGTTTGGACTGCAGCACTGTGACAAACAGGGGCAGTTGAACATGGTGGTGCTGGTGGGTAGGAATGAGGAAAATGTGCCCATGGTGGTCTCTGATTGGGAAAGTATAGAAGACTGCAGAAACCACTGGAGATCTGGCGAAGATGTAATGACATCCAGATCTGGGCTGGACGTAGAGTCCTCAGTGTCATTCTGCAAATTATCAATAAAATAAAATTACACATTAAAATAAACAGTAATAACTAATATAAGTTATTTTACAAATGTTTGATAAAATAGTTAGTTAAAAATACAGTTAAAGAATTACAAATAAAAACACAGGTTATTAAACGTCTTTTTTCTGTTTCATTTCTTCTATTTCAATTATTTGAAGCTGAATAAATAACTTTTAATGACCTACCGGAGCTAAGAGAAGATTCGAGGAGTTTTCATGCTCCATCCATGCTGGAGAAATCCGGGAATCATAATACGACTCTCTTCGTTCATTGTGATTCATTATGATCAATTTCATATTATTTCTGTTAGATTAAATTCACGTAAAACTAATTCAGTTCATTCTAACAGGCCTACAACGCAAATTCGGTAAAATGACAAAGCTATGATAAATCCATAAGAGAGAATAATGAATAAAATAAACCAAAACACGTGCTGCAGCTTTTCTTCAGTGTCCTTACGCCCCCTCACACCCACTTTCTCCTCCTCCCATGAAGGATCTGTCGTTTCCAACTTCCAATGTGCCGCCTTTTCTCTTCTTAAATTCCCTTCTGTAATGGCCATTACTTATCATAAAGAGCTTCAACAGCGCCAACTAACTGTCGCTAACATCAAATTCACAAACTAAGTAATAGTCAATAGGTTTGATCTATGCTGGTTGTGAATGACAGGCACGAGTCTATTGCTCTCGATACATGCTGAGTTTCAATTAAAAACATCTTGTGACGAGGTGACTTGCGGGTTTGAAATGCATGAATAAGCGAAGTCGTAAAACATCAGTGAATCACTCTTGTGGTTAAAAAAAACATACATCCCTTATATCTTGTTTCGTGGCTGGTTGGTGTCTATTTAGAAATATGTTACAATACAATTCATGAGAAGTATATACTGCAGTGTAGTTGACGATCGGGGCATGACTTTTTCTGTAATGTTCCTGTAGTTTGTGTAATAAAAGTTTCTGTCATTTTTATAATAATTTAAATAACATCAAATTTATTCATAAAACGTATTCAAGTGTTCAATTTTTTTATATTTATTGTCTGATTGAGGTAAAACTCTAATTTTACTGTATTTTAGGCTATATGTTGATATCATCAACACCAATTTACCTAAAAGTGTCTTGTGAACACTATGTCGGTGCTCAGTTCTGTCGGTTTCAGACTGTTGAATGATTTTTTTTCTCGCATATACCGATTGGCGTTGTTATAGACAATGTTATTGACCAATATGCAGGGCCATTATATGACCATTAATATTTTGATGATTAACATTATTTTAAATACAGATCTTGAACTACATGTATGTATGTGTCTATATATACACACACACAAAATTCTAATATATATATATATATATATATTATCAGAATTTTTTGCCCCCGTTTATTTTTCCCCCCAATTTCTGTTTAACGGATACATTTTTTTCAACACATTTTAAACATATTAGTTTTAATAACTTACAGATTTATTTCATCTCTACCATGATGACAGTAAATAACTTTTGACTAGATATTTTTCAAGACACTTCTATACAGCTTAAAGTGACATTTTAAGGCATGTTATTGTATAATGATGGTTTGTTCCATTGAAAAAATAGCTTACAGTGGCTAATAATTTTGACCTTAAAATGGATTTAAAAAAAAATTAAAACTGCTTTTATTCTAGCTAAAATTAAAACAACTAAGACTTTTTCCAGAAGAAAAAATATATTATCAAACATACTGTGAAAATACCCTTGCTATGTTAAACAAAATGTGTGAAATATATTAAAAAAAAATTATTCAAACGGGAGCTAATGATTCTGACTTCATGTATACTGTGCTTAATATACAAGTACACCCCTCACAAACCTATATTTATATTTTAAATTCATATCTTTTATAGGAAGCTACAGAAAACTATTTGTGCATATACATTAGATTAGTCTGTGCTGAAGCCAAATCTGGAGCTTATCTAACTTATGATAACAGTCCAAAAAATGAGTACATCCAAATTTATGTGTTGTAGAAAAATGTTAAAAAGAAAAAAATCAAGAGAACCAAAAAATTGTAAAAATTTTGTTGAAATTGTGTAGGTTGTACTTTTTTTTTTTTTTTTGCAATATTTTGCTTCAATTTAATTGTATTACCTTTTAATTTCTTAATATGTTTGGTGACTGAAATATTATTTTATAAATATATCTGTTTAATAAATCTGTTTTGTTTAATAACACCAAAAAACATTGCCTATAATCACTGAGAAATGGATAAAAATATTCCTTTTAAAAATGGGGTGTGCTCAATTATGCTGAGCACTTTATATATAATTATAATTATTATTTATTTATTTTTATTCATTAAACCACATATAAGTGCTAAAGAGAAAAGAAGCAAGAACTATTTTTATCTTAATTTAACCCAGATTTGTAATAAAGAAATGACTAAGTCTGTGTCATGGCAGAAATATAATAAGCTTGTCAGCACATATTTTAGACAAAAATACACTTTATTCATCATTTAGAGCAGCAGATGTTTGACACAATTAGCGATGGATTGCAGAAACACATGAAGAACATATTATAAGGGTCTGTAGGCCCCAACAGTAATGTCAAAGAGTTTAGGGTTGTTTACTGTCCCTTCTTTGTCCAGAAGAAAGTAGAACTTGTACCCTTTGACTTTCAGAGGGATAAATGAATGGGATTCCTGCCTGTGTGCATAACAGGCTACTTGACTCAAAGGCACAGTCAAGTGGTGAGATCTCTGGGGTCCCAGTGGAGACTGTGTGTAAACGCTCACTTTAGCACCTCCTTTATGCAGAATCACACGACTGACAGAGCGACGGCTGAACAATAATGCCAAAGCAAGTATTCCTCCACCTGCAACAACAGACAACTAACAATTTACAGAGCTGGAAAAAAGAATAAATTAAAAAAAAAGATTTTCTTCTTGTGATAACTGCTGAGGGTTTTATCATACTGTATTGTATTAACATGATATTGGCATTAGCTAAAAAAGGGGCTGCTTTAATAAGTATAACAAAGAACTCTAGAGTTTTGTGCATTAACTGCATTAAGGTCTTATCTCACTGATAAATGCTAATGCATACATACAAAGGGCAACAAATAGCTTACATTAATTACATTTTTTTTAATTTATGAGTTATTAGATTAGTCAAAGGTTATGGCAAGGCCCACGTGGAATCTGTGTGTACAGATTGCGCAGATTTTTAGCCGATCATTGATTCAGTTTATCTACCAGTGTAAATGCATGTAAATTTATATTTATTCAGTTTTTAAATTAATTACAGTAATATTATTGACTAATATGAAAATATTCATATGGTTTATTTACAATACAGTTTGTAAACTGAGACTTGCTTTGTTTACCAAATAAAGTGGATCTAATTGGATTTGTATTGTAAATATTAAATAAAAGTTAAGGTATTTAAGTAAAGGTATTACTTTTTATTTCATACATTAAAGTTTTTATCATGATACCCCCAAAATCCTTGCGCATAAATACGCATAATTTTAACAAAATTTAGCGCAGAAATAGCAAAAAATGTCTGACCTTAGTCATGACTTCTAATTATTAAACACTTACATTCAATATTTTGTGTATGTCATAGGCATTAACCTGTAAAATGGTTATAAATTATAATGCATACTATAATGTTTTTTAAACATATTATAATAAAGTATTTGACTTTATCTACTGTGGTAATTATATAAATGCTGTAATAACACATGGTAATTTAATATGTAAATAAATGACCCAATACTGTATTATTATTGGCAACGCAGTGGCGCAGTAGGTAGTGCTGTTGCCTCACAGCAAGAAGGTCGCTGGTTCGAGCCTCGGCTGGGTCAGTTGGCATTTCTGTGTGGAGTTTGCATGTTCTCCTTGCATTTGTGTGGGTTTTCTCCGAGTGATCCGGTTTCTCCCACAGTTCAAAGACGCTGTACAGGTCAATTGGGTAAGTTAAATTGTCCATAGTGTATGTGTGTGAATGAGTGTGTGTGGATGTTTTCCAGAGATGGGTTGCAGCTTAAAGGGCATGCGCTGCATAAAAAATGTGCAGCGGTTCATTCCGCTGTGGTGACCCCAGATTACTAAAGGGATTAAACCGAAAAGAAAATGAATGAATGAATATATTATTATTTTACTAGACCAGAGTTTACAGTTTTTATTACAGTTTATCAGTTCACTAGTTAATACTACAGCTGCAGTATGTAGAATTCATTAACAGTGTTGTAATACTATAATATAAGCAGTATTATACATTATAATATACAATAATAAAGTATGCTTAAAAATTTGTGATGTCAAACAAATTATCACATTCAAAACAAAAGTTTGCATTTACATAATATGCGTGTACTCATGGTCTATAAAGACTGTGTATATATATTCAATTAAGGGACAGCACAGTGGCTCAGTGTTTAGCAAGAAGGTCGCTAGTTCGAGATCCGGCTGGGTCAGTTGGCTTTTTTGTGTGGCTTTTGCATGTTCTCCTTGTGTTTGTGTGGGTTTCCTCTGGGTGGGTTCCTTTACAGTCCAAAAACATGTGCTATAGGTGAACTGAATGTACTCAATTGGCTGTAGTGTAAGTGTGTGAATGTGAGAGTGAATGGGTGTTTCCCAGTGCAGGGTAGCGGTTGGAAGTGCATTCGCTGTGTAAAACATATGTTGGATATGTTGGCAGTTTATTCTGCTGTGGTGACCCCTGATAAATAACGAGACTAAGCCGAAGGAAAATGAATAAATGAATTTTAAATTAATCAATTGACAACACTATTAAAATACTACAAATGCTATTTACTATAAATTACTATTATTTATTCATCTGGCCAATTAAGTCAAACATTTGATGCTGTGAGGAACATCAGTGCAGATAATATTAACATTCTTAACATTTATTCTAAAACTTCAAATTATAAACATTCACAATAACAATAAAATGCATGTTTATTATCAAAATATCTTGAATTTGTGAATGTCCGATGCAGAGTTGAGTCTTACCAATGATCAGGCATCCAGAAGTGAATCCATACCTCCAGGCATTTGAGCCCAGGTTCATATCAAAACTGAAGAACCCCCCCAGTTCAGTTCTGACCTTCTGAGGTTCACTGTATTTCCTTGTGTCTCTTAGACTTGTGAAAGCGAAATGGCCCAAATACGCCCAGAACAGAAACTGACCACCACAGAATATGGCCAGCAGTCTGAAGAAGCGCGTCCGGTCGTGTTCAAACAGCAGCACGTCCTTCGCGACCGCAGCGGAGGTGAAGGTGAACGCTGAAGCCACGCGCACTGGGAAAACGAGAGGACGAAAGATGTTTTTAGTATCCGTCACTTTAAACTGAGTATAAATAGAGGTAAACGCTCTTGAAGACTGGAAAGCTGTCCGCCGACAAGCTAAAATAAATGTACAGCTACGCCTTACGCCGAATAACAAGTGCTGAACAGCCATGACTTAATAAAAACGAATAGTTTCGAAATACTGTGATTTTAACCAGGATACATTGCTGTTTATTTGCCAGTTATCTTATATTATTCAACATGCTGAAAAGTACGGCTAACAGGTCGACGCCATGTTTGTTCTTTTTGCAAGTACGGCTGCCTCATTAGTCCAAATGCAACTGGTCCAGTTTACCTTGTTTAAAACGCCATATACAAGTGGGCTACTACATTTAGGCCATTGTTTGTACGTTATTAATTATAATAGATAATCTTTTCTTCCTTATTATTTAAAATTTTTATAGTTGCTTTAAATCTTGCATCTTGTTGAAAAGTACTTAGGTTGTTTAATGTTTCACAGCACAGTGTAACAAGGTTTTTAACCATTTTTTAAAGAATTCAGTTAAACTAATAAATGTACAATTAATACAGTCTAAACTTCTTTTTACATACTTAAGTAGGACTTAAATGCATCTTTATATCTCTTTGAAATATTCAACTGTACAGCTACATGTACTGTCAAGCACTATCATAAGCTTTAATGTAAATGTAAAATGCTGGCTTCATTTTCAGTGTTTCATATTTTACAATTATTTAAATCTTTTTGAAAGAGCTTTTATTGTGTGAGAGCAGTGCAAATAATGTAATGTTCCTGGAGACTTAATTCCATGTTGCTTATTTTTTATGAAATTGAAACTATCATAATTTAAATGTAGGCTATACTAGATCAATTAGAGACTTTAGACTTATTTTTTACATATGTAAAAAGGACTTAGAAACATCTTCATGTGCTTAATAATTATTATTTATAATACTTCCTAATTATAATTCATAATTATGACTTAAAAAAATATTTATTACTCATAAATT